TCTGAATTATTATCCACCAGCCTAGTAGGGTAGCGGGTAGGGTAGCAGCAAGCCCACTGCTGGTCATGAGCCCATAGCGGGTTTCTCGCTAATTTTGGCAGATATTGGTCCGTGTTCTCTACCGCCGGTCGACAGTTTCACTGGGATGAAGTGTACGGATTTACGTTTTGCTAAGTGTTTGCGTTATTAATTTATTTGCGAATAACTGTTTTAGCCCAGATAAATTTCTTTTTGCTGCTAAATAAAACTGTTTTCGATTACTGTAGATGAAGCTTTTGAAATTACTGTGAATTATATTTCGAAAGAAATATTTACAGGGATAATTTTGAGATCAAGTTTAGACTACTAGCTTTTAAAACAAAATGTTGACACAATATTAAATGAAATGATACCTAGTGGGGCAACAGGCCCACGCGTGTCACGAGGCAAAGCGCCCATGGTGAAGTCTTGTGTTATACATCATTAGATTTGTCTCAATGACCTTTACAAAACTATGACTAGCTTTTTGAATTACAAATTACACTTCATATTGCATGATGTTTTGATTTGCCGCTTCAGGGCAGCAGGTTTAGTTTCTAGTTATGCGTATTTTTGTAAGAACTCCTCGAGATATTTATGACCCTTATCGAGTTATCGACTCTTGCCTTGCCAAAAGTTGATTTCAGTCAACACCAATGAGCCAAAAGTTGATGAGTTTTTATGGTGTTGGCTGAAATCATGATTAGGTACGTATTCTCTGCACATTATTATCTGGATTATGGATGAAACTGGAACGAAGTTTTCTTCTGATCAACTAAATATATTTTTTCTAGTCAAGGATACATTTTTCCATTTCAAGGACGAATTTTTTATCGCAAGGATATATTTTTCAAGTTAAGGATATATATTTTTACGTCAATGAAATATTTTTCTTCACGTCAGTGATCAATTTTTTAAGCCACGAGTCTATTTTTTTCAAGTTAAGGATATGAGTTTTTGAGTTGTTAATAAATGAATGAATGTCATGCTTTTTTATTAAATTTTCTTATTTTTGACTGCAAAGTATTGTTTTATCATTTTTAAACGAAATATATGCAATTGCGGTAAAGGTACAAAGGGTGGGTGCCTTGCCCCAAGCCCATTGCCCCAGGGGTAGGGCAATGGGCCCATTTTGACACTTTTTACAAAATAGTGTTTCATAAAAAATTGAATAACTCTATAGGCGTCTAGTTCACATCATACATTCCTCATTAGTTGTACCTATGAACAAAAGAAAGAACCACCTCGTATAAATTAAAACTTCATCCAAAATGTAGTTTAAAAAAGGGGGGGCGCTGCCCCATGTTGCCCTACTCGGGGTGGGAAGCTGAATGTTACGACCGAAAGAATAGTGTTAGGTTTTAATGCTGCGGAGAAGAAGAATAAACTTGAGATTTGGTTTAAGCAACTGATAGTTGCTAGCACGGTAGGGGCCACGCCGCATGTGCAGATACACTAATGTATTTACATAATAAATCTTGACAAATTTTTAAACAGTTTATTTGCACGTTGAGATCTGAATACTAAATTTTAATTACGTTGAAGATTTGAGCCTTAACCGCCATCCAACTTCACATTTATGTAGAAATTACTTAGAAATTCGACGTAGAAAATGCAAATATACTAATTTACCGAGAAGTAAACGCCAGTCATACGAACCAAAATATATTGAAGAAGGATAATAGAAACGATTTAGAGATATTTAGACGTTGGTGTATTGAACAGTTGCCGCTTTGTCGATACTCCTGCTAACTCTTAACAGCCAGAATATATATGTCGGCGGTATGTATATATGTACTGTAAGTAGCTAAAAAAATTTCAGTTAAATGCGGAGCTTTTCCTCGTGCCATCGGGGGTTCACATGAAATTTCTCCAATAAATAAAGTAGTGGGCCCATGGCCTGTTGCTGATTTTTGTTCTTCCCGTGACTTGTTTAGAGGAGATCTAAAAACTGGCCTTTTGACCAGATCTTCTCAAAAATGACGCGTATTTGCAATAGCTGCTGGACATACTACCATGTCCGCATGATGCTCGGTGTTGCTCAGATGGTGAATCTCTTTGATGACTTTTGCAATGTTAATGAAACGGAATACGGTATATTGATCCATTAGAGTCGCACTTCTTGTTGAATACGGTAAAATTCTTGCCTAATACAGTATATTGATACTTAAGGGTCACACTTCTTGCTGAATACGGTAAAATTATTGCTGACTCCATTATATTGATGATACGGAATACGATATTGCAGAGACTGGACTTGGTGACGTGTCTAGCTTCTGACTTTGACCGACTCCCTCTCCATCGGCTCCAGAATCCTGGATTCTAATTCCCACTAATTCTACAAATGAAATCAAAAAAATGAATTAATGAAGGAAACCTAGAATATCTGTACAAATTGACGGTGTAGAATAATGAATTTCTCACACCTTAGCGGTCTGTGCCACACCCGGAGAATCGCACTTATGATATAACGATATTTTCATCATTGATGAAAATAATAAATAATGAGAAAAGATTAAAGGAATATGAAAGGCGACCAAAAATTATTAAGCCCATTGACTCACACGTTCAAACAAACTGAAGCTCACATTTGTTGATGCCTGAGGAGAATCATTAGTTAACTGTCGTAATGACCACGCGTGTTTGTTAGTTGATAACTCAGGACAAATGCATTGCATTGAAATACTCGGACCAATGAAGTTCGATTGACTTCCTCCTGCAGTCAAGGTCGCAGATGTCATTACCCAGTTAAAATTTAGGGCAGGGAATAGAGCAGGCCGTCGCCGGCTGCAGAGCCGGCGTAGAGACGCGACAGAGCAGCGATAGAGCAGAAATGTCCGCTTTAGAGACGATATCGCCAGCCGCGTATCAGCGCTAATTAGCTTCTGAGTACCTGCCCAGGTGTGCTCTGTCCTGCCGTCACGCAGCCCTTACTGAGCACCACCTGCTCAAATCTGCCCAACGCCTGCTCTGGGGCGGCTCTGGCAGTGTACGCGGCAGTTACGCGTCACCGTTTGTCAACAACGATTTAAAAAATTCCCTGCCGGGCAATCCCAAGTACCAGCGCTAAAACAGCGCAGAGTACCGTCTCTGCCGAGCTGCTAGAATTTTGTCTCTGTATCAGCCATGGCGCAGCGCAGTTTTAGGGATAGATGGCCGGTTATAGTTTCACGGCTCCATCCTGCTAAAGCGCGACCAGCCCGGCTAAACCCGGCGCCGGTCTCGGCTCAAAATTTTAACTGGGTAGCATCTCAACGAGCAAACACGGCTTGCATGTGGGCGGTGATTAAGTACATCGGCGCCATCAAGCGATTGCGTTCATAATTATTCTTGCAATAATGACCACGCGTGTTTGTTAGTTGATAACTCGGGGCAAATGCATTGCATTAAAATTCTCGAACTAATGAAGTTCGATTGTGTCGCTCCGGCAGTCGAGGTCGCAGATGTCATTAGCATCTCAACGAGCAAATATTCTTAGGAATACTAATAAGGAACTAAAATACTTTAATGATAGTTTTATCGGAATATTGACCTTCAAGTCTGCCAGCAAGATAATCAACATCATCATAAGATAACATAACATAACATAACACAAAATAACATAGCATAACATGACATAATCTAACATAACATAACATAATATAACATAACATAATATAAAATAACATAACATAGTGATGTCGGCGCTGAAGAGTAGGCCTGATGTGGCCTGTCTCCGATCTTTTCGTGATTTGTTCACAGAAGAACCAAAAGCATTTTCTTTGACCGGATTTTTCATGACTGACGATAGTTTGAAATAGCTACTAGACTTCTACCGGGTTCGATATAGTGTTGGGCATTTCAAGTCTGAACAAATATGTTTCCATAGCTTTTTCTAGTCTCTTCATGAACGCGTTTATACTTGGAGCGTCAATGATGTAATCGTGGAGGCTGTTCCACATGTCGGTGACTCGAAGCGAGAAGAAATGTTGTTGCGTGGATAAGTTGCAGCGCAGTTTTCTTAGTTTATAGTCGTGGCCCCTGGTGTTCGTTCATGTTTCAAATTCTAGTAATCCTTCTGGGACCTTGTATAAACCATGAGTGTACATGTATACTTCAATGAGGTCAATGGTTTAATATATAAAAAATAGTGCGTTAGATTATGCAGTCTGTTACTAGACATATAAAAAATATCGTTATACGTTATTGCCGCGAGTAGTAGAGTGTCATCCCACTTTAGCATGACGAGAAAAATTTACAACCAATTTTAATGGTTCGATTAACCCTTTCAGCAACTCCGTTACTGGCTGGATCGATTAGTGTCGTGAATATATGTTTTATTTGATAAATTTCGTAGAAAGCGTGATGCCAGCCGCTCTTACTTCGGACCAACCGAATTTTTGCTGTACCCTTTACCGTTTTCACTGTTCCTTTTACCAAGTTTTACTGAAACTAACTCAGTTATCAGGGTCAGTTAATTCAGTGTGTGCCATTCACTAGTTCGTTTTTTTCTTGCTTCTGTATTTGCTCTGTATCATCAGTATCCACCAGTGTCTTCGATCGTTATCAATGAAGTGTCGAAAATACAAAGTTCCCTTCCACGCGCGGTTAAAGTTCGGTTGGTCTGGCTGGCGCTGAAGTAAGAGCGGCTCACACCCCCGTCGCATTTACAGTGCATGTCAGAACATGAATATTGAAATTCAGGGCCTCCATCGAACAGCCTCGGCTCCAGTCGGAAGCAACAAGGAAAAATTCAGCGAGTATATTATCAAGAAAACCGAAAAAACTATAGACAGTTCTTTCTTATGTTCCATCATTCTTGAAAAAAACAAGCATCATTGCCTAATCACTATTCGATGACTGCACTGGTTGCAACCTTGAACAAAATGCATTATCAAAGCAGCGCGTGGAGGTTGGCTGCGAATTTATTCTCAGTGCACCTGAACCAACGAACAGCAGGTATATTAAACTGCTCGTCTCGTGCCAACACTGCAACAGTGAAACAACAGCACCGGGACCCCAAGCATATCCTGTTCTGTCTCTCTGACCCACGGCATATCCCGAAGCAGAAGATGAATCGAGGTTTCTTGCTTCTCGTCGTGGCCGCGGCGTCCGTGTCGGCCCAGACGTAAGTGTAGCGCGGTCACAGTGCAGTAGATAGTTGCGCTCACGATGACGTTTGTGACTATTTTACGTCTAAAAAAATTGACAATGTTCTAAAACTTCATTGAAAAACAGGGCCAACTTAATTTCGAATGATTATGCAAAATTTTACGTTTCCTCTAATGCAAATTAAAATAAAAATATACAATGTATGTTTTTGTTGCAGTGTCCCCTCCTCTTGTGAATTGGCCCTGACATCTGTGGACAGAAGTCTGGAGAAGATAGGTAGGACTTGCAACTACCGGATGGCGTGGGACTCGTACAACGCAAGTAAGGTCATAGATTGTCTGAAAATATAACTAACTCGCACAATAGGACGAAAATAATGCAAATAATATTAAACGAATGTTAAATGAAAATTTATATGGACAGTATGATGAGCCAGCTGAATTAGAAATTCATATTTTGCAGGACTTAAAATAAGAATGAACGAGGAGTTGATTATCCAGAACGGACAATGATCTCAAAAGAGAGGTAGCGAATTCAGCAGTGAAAAATATAATGAAAGCCGTTGCCCCGATGAATCCCAGATACTGGAAGGAAAAATTGGCGATTGTGAAGCAGTAATTAGGAATACAGGTAGAATATAAGGAACTTCTTATGCCGGTTGAAGTTAATTAACTGAACTCGAGGCTTGACCAGGTGCATACATGATAAGTGAACTCCTCGTTGGGAGGAGATAATGACTAAATGAAATTTACGTCAATAGACTGGAGATGTGACTAGAATGAATGCTGGTTCATGATTCCTCCTACCCCATCTGGAACTGCTTACTTAATTATGAAACGAAACTGAATACAACATAAACCAACGACAACAATGAGCAAATTTAGCAAAGAACAAACATGAACAGCCTAGTGTATGTCGTCTCTCTTCCCTTAGGAAAATTTTCCCACAAGATAAGCAACAAATTATTACGTTATTTACGCACAGTTCATTCTACGCTCAACGCTGCGCTGGAACATGTTTCTTTATCTTATCCTCCTGAGGTACATGATTGTCCCGCTCACACCCTAGCTTGGCTCCGTAAATGACGACTCGCATGATACCAGCCAACGCATCCCTTCTGACACTCTTTTTGTCGTTGTCAGCCACCATTTACGTCATAAAATATTGCGGAAAGTAATTTTATTGAAGGCTGCATACTATCTTTCCTTTCTGCTGCATTATTGTTAGGTTATGAAATGAAAGAGAATAACTTCGCACTGTTATCTTACTTAATCCTCTCTCAACAGTCGAAAACTGCCGATGGTATTCTGGTACGATGTCGATGTACAATGTTGAAGTCTGTGATCCGATTGTGTTCGATTACATGAAATGCATCTTAAAAGCATCAGGACTTGTGAGTATCTTGGCGAGCTGAATATGAGTTCAGTGTTCAAAATTTTGGTTTTATTATTTATTTCACGGTTGTTAGCTTGCAATAAAATGCGTTGGGACGTAAATCTTTTTCACACCTTATATGTCCAGTCCCTTTAATGAGGCCAACGGTCATTGGAGTGGGAATGGATGTGCATCGAAAGGAAAAATCTTATTATATTGTATACGGTCTGAATTTGCATAATTTTTTCTCAAAAATTGGTGCTGGTGTGATATTATCCTACATTCAGCACTCCAAAAAGAAACATGAATATAAGTCATTTGCAATAAGCAGATAACTCGAGTTACAGTATCTCAAAGGAAATCAGTTGGTGTCACCATAGCAATTCATTCAAAGCTAATATTCAATGTTGTGGGGGACTTGATAATTTGTTTCTTTTCTTATGACACATTCTTGTGATTCATCTATTATCACTTGCTTGCATGAAGCGTAACGATCTAGATTTATCCACAATTTAATTTTTTTCTGTTCCTATAATATATTACTACACATGAACCCTCATATGAGAAAAAGATCTCTTCTTTTCCAAGACTTCCTTTTCTCCATTAACTTATCGCATCCTATTCTATCTTCAACAGCTCAAAGTCGACGGCTCCTTCGATGACGCTGCTTTCCAGAAAACAACGTTGCAGGACAAGTGCAACTCGGACGTCAAGTTCTCAACCGCGTACAAGCTTTGCAAGAACTCCACCATGAAATACTTGAACGTAAGGAATGATTACTTTGTTTTTAATTTTTTTTAACATTCTTCAGACCAACTTCAAATCATTTTTTTAACATATATTGCTTATCGAGTCCATCAGAGACTCGATGCAATGTATGGCGTGACTACACCTCTGACTCAAATCCATGCCATGCGAGAGTACAATTTGTTGTATCTGCGAATGTTTGATGCTGATGTTTCGTGTCCTGTTTTCCAGTATTATCGGTTCGTCTGGTGCCTAAATGGAAAATTACAACTTTGAGGCAACCGAAAGAAAAAAAATCTCACGGAACACGGCAAACAGAACGCACCAGAACTCGCAAACAAAACTCACCCGGAACACGGCGTACTGAACTTATACAGAACACGGCAAACAGAACTCACCTAGAACACGGCGAACTGAACTCATAGGGAACACGACTGAAATCAACATTAATATCAGAACGAGTTTCTAAATTAAGTGTGCCTATATTGTCCACGCGTTCATAATGTAAGGAATTGTTTTGAGAAACAATATATATTGATGGGACGGGAATATAATCCATGAAATGCAAGAAGTTGAGTTTTCTTACCCTTTCAAGTGTTGCTTACTCGTTGCCCTCTCAAGCCTTGCCTACCCATTACCCTCTCTTGTATTGGTTACTCTCTTTCCCTCCCGAGTATTGTTTACCCATTACCCACCCAAGCCTTGGTTACCCCCATAGTGGAATTCTAGAGGAGTTTCAAATGACCAAAAAATCATTGCATATTGGATAGGCCATCGCCTAACCAATCCCAGTCTAGCTGGATAGGAAGATATCTTGATCCCACAGCCGATCACAGTCTGGAGATTATGACATCACAATCTTATCAACCAATCACAGTCTAGAGAGGATGACATCTCAACCAATTCCAGCTGGAGAGGGATTTGTCTCCGCCCATCGTTTATACTTTATAGTCATTTAAAGCCCCCCTCGAATTCATTAGAGATAAGGGGTATTCATAGAGAGAATTCATAGAGGATTAGGGGTAACTTACCCTTATCCTCTCAAGTGCTGATTAACCCTTACTCTTTCATGAGTTGGTTACCTCCAAGTCTCCAACCTAGATGATGTTTACACTTAAAACAATGGAAATTAACGAAAAAGTTACAATATTATTTTTAGCCGCCCGATACCATAGCAGCAAGTAAGTGAATATAAAATAGAAAATCTAGAGAATAGAACGTGGCGTACGTTTTTTCCAATGATGTGTAGTTGATACTGTTGTGGTTATTGTATCTGCTATGGAGTTGTAAGAAGGACGCAACGGAATCGGCGACTGTGAAGCGGTAGTCGATATCTCGGAGAAAATTAAGTTTTAAATGTGTGTTAGTTTAAAGATCTTGTTTCTCAATTCGGTCATGTAGAAGTTAGCAAGAATGACACCCAGGGGACTCCTCATCCGTTTTACTTACCCCATATGTTTTAATTATCCAATGAACCAATTGATTGTGTTTTACTTATTCAATACAACAATTGATGTGTTTTACTTATCCAATACAACAATTGATTGTTTTCCTTATCCAATACAACAATTGATGGTGTATTACTTATCCAGTACGACAATTGTTTGTGTTTAACTTATCCGATATAACAATCGATTGCGTCTTATCCAATACAACACTTGATTATGTTTTACTTATCCAATACATCAATTGATTGGAGTACAAAACTTAAGTTTAGCGTGACCTCCCTTTTCAGTGGAAGAAAAATTTTATTACGACAAAGAAAGATGGAAGGAAACGTCTAAGATTAAAGTATTTTTATTTCTGCACAGTGTTCATGGGAACACAAAAATAATCTTAAGAATAGTGAACAGGACCGAGCCGCTGCCGGGTGGAAGTTATCAGTAAACCGGGAGCTAGAGCTTCCCCTGGCCAGCGCAAGCCAACCAGGTAGCACAGAGAAACTGACGTGCTAAGTTCCGTGCCACCCATCTTGTCAAAATAAAAGCCAACTGATGTTAAGGAAACTAAAGCCAAAATAGAAAATTAGAACAAGCTGAAGATTAGGGTCCGAAGCATTATCAAATGCTTAAATTTACGAACCTGACAGCTATGCTCCTAAAATTTTATGGTCATCTTAAAATGAGAGAAACAAATTGGCATTCCACGAAATATATAGATTCAGTTGAAAGACAAGGAGGGTTTTATTGTTTATAGGTTGAGAGCAGTGAAGGGGAGACGGTCATCCAAAAAGGAAACCGGCCGGAGCTACAAGTTGCCACAACACCCTGAGCCTTAGCGATGGACAACCAACCTGCAGCATCCGGTCCTCTCAGCTCTCGCAGTGACCCGTCCTCCGTGAGAAGACGAGCCGATGCCGCAGTTCCCAGATCGTCCCTGCTCCTCGAGGCCGCCACCTCAGACGAGATCCAAGCTGAAATTCTCACTCCATATAACGTAAACGTGGAGGACAAAGCGTAAAGGTGTGGCGTAGCTGGCGGTCGTAAGAAATCTGACTCATAGGCCGTCTCTGAATCTGACTAAAAGTTGAAGTTAGCTTATATCTTCAAAGGTGGATTTGAAGAAATGCGGAAGGTTGCCCACACCATTGGAAGAAATGTTGGGAAACTGTAGCCGGCCAAATGAAATCAAAACTAACTCAAACCCAAACAATAAACTTCCAACTGGAAATATCAAAGTCAAGATAATTTTATACAACTGAGCGTTGACGAGAAACGTTAGATGTTGTCTTTAATCCATTTCGAAGAAGAAGAAATTTTGTCTTAGACTTTATTTGATCGAACCAAGACTTGACTCGATAAAATTTCACTTTTAATTTTTTTTCTGAAGTATAATTTGGACTGAACAAAAGATAATAATATTCGTTTATTATGAGTTCTATAAAGCTTGATATGAACGAGTGAAAAAGCTATTAATAACACATATATAAACAAAAATAATAGAGCAAATTAAAAAAGACAACCAGGATTCGAGAGACATGAACTTCAGCCAGCAAACAATACGAGCCACTGAAACGTAACACGAGGAAAGCAGAAATGCAAAATTGTAACGAGACACGAAATTGGAAAGCATAAATGCATCATAATAACATTTAAAATTTTCTGAACAAAGTAATGCGTAGAAATTCAACTTCATATATATTCTTGCGGCGCATGCCATAGCAGCAATGCGGTGACTAACAGCGATTGCAACCACGCATCTCAATCATCGTCACTGGAATTAAGGGCCGAGTTTTCAGTCTTGGATTTTTGAGTAAGAACAATGACGAATTTGCCTCGCGACTTGAACCGAAGGGAGCCCAGTCAATCAAGTCTTGATCGATCGACGGAGATTGATGTGGTTCGATCAAGAATATTGATGCAGATTCCTGCTCGATCGGCGAAGGCAAAACTCAATTTGGAGTCGATAATTACAGGGGCAATGTCGCGGGGCGCAGCACCGATTAAAGAGGAGAATTCTATGCCGATTCTGTGAAGATCTTCAAAGTTTCTGCTCCCGATAATTTGTCGAGTCGAATAATCTGCATCGAACGATGTCGAATATACAGTAGCTGAAGCCGAATCTGCATTAATCTATGTTGAATCATCATTGATCTACGTTGAATCTATATTAATCGTTGCCGAATCTGCATAAATCGATTGCTGAATATTAGCAGTTTTTACACTTTACTGTACGAATATAATAAATTTCCTATAACTGAACGAAAGTTGAATTAAAATCAGATCAATATAAAACAATTTACTCTTATAAAATTCACATTACATACGACGCAGAAATCAAATCCACGCGTGTGCAAGAAACATACTGTACACGCTGTCACAACTCCATAAATTATTAACCTGTATCAGTCTTCTGAATACAATTCAACAGGTTAATCATGGTGGTTACTCAAAGCAGTTATTCGTTAAAAAAGTTGAAACATAGAAGCAAACTATGACATGAGATGAAGTAGACAAAAAATAGGAAATAATAATAGGTTTCATCGAAAAATAAGTTCGTGCAGTCGTAAAAATTTAGCACCGATAATAACTCTTGACAGTAAAAACATGTGGCTCGTGTTTGTAATACACTTTGATTTAATTTAGGATTCAAAGTATGGCATGAAGGATCGAGTTTCAAACTTTATCACAATGAAATTGATAACAAACTTCATCAAATCATCAACAAACTTTATGAACTCATCGAAAAACTTCATCAACACAAACTTTATTAACTCATCAGGGAGACGTCAAGCAAACTTGAGAAATAAAAATGTTACGTTTGCGTCATAAAATTCCGATTATTAAAGAAATGCTTGTAAAATTGCAGATATATATAAGAAACTCAACCACAAAAAAACAGTGACAAGTGTCAAATTCTTTCTGATCAACTGATTTCCTTCAATTCAATATCAAATTTGTTCCTAAATAATCAATCACAGTTATTTGTAACATATGAAATTTATTTACACAGTAGGAGCGAGTAAGATGTATAACAAATTAAAATAAGGTTCTTATTAAACTAGGGCCGTATGGCTAAATTATATTTTAACCTCAATCATCATAATCTTGATATTGAATAACTTTCCAGGCACTGTCAATTTAACTAAATAGTGAGAAGAGTTTTCTAAATATTAACCAATATAATTTTTTAGTATTTTCTAGTATTCACCGAAAGCATTTGATGTTTATCAAGAATGAATTGTTGTGTTGACAAGGTTCAATTTCGACGCACTGACCAGTACCACTTCATTACATAATTTTTTGATGCAGTGAGTTGAAATTCGGAAGACAATTTCAAGATTGTAGGACGGAAGGACTGCGTGACACTTTGGTTGACCCAGCTGTAGCAAGTGCAGTGAGCTCACCGGTGGGCGGTAATCATGGTTTGAATGTGGCTCACGAAGCTCCCAAGCCCCAGTTGTTGTTCCTGGCACCGGCATCACGCTAGCAGGGGTGGAGGCTCTGGTGGTGGCCGAGGGAGAGGTACCGGAAAAGGAGGGAGATGGGCGAAGGCAGAAATATAAAGGGTGGCCAGGAACGCCGCCGCCTCTTCGGGACTCTCCCACAATGACGAGACGCTGAGGGACGAGGGAAGGAGGGGCAGGTAAAGCCGTGCTGGACGGACTGGAGGGGGTCCCTGCTTTCCGGGCAGGTGCTGCTGGGGGAGCGTCCGACCCTGAATTAAGGTGTAGTACTCCAGGGAACTACAGTATCCCGAGCGGAGCTGGGATAGAGCAGTGCGGTGGGGGCAAGGAAGCGAGGCCTCTTCTGATGCAATCGGTGGTGGGGCAGCGCAGTCGAGGATCTGGCGCGTGATTATCCGGTAGGTGGCGATGAGGTCCTCCTTGGATAAACCTCCTTTGGTGCCAGCCATGGCTTTTAGGATACGTAGAGAGCCCACCGCTCTAGTGGCTGTGGCTCTGACGTGTGGTGAAGACGTGTAGTGGGTATCCGAGGTGCGCCTAGAATTTTTGGAGTTTTATCTAGACTCTCTAGAGGGATACTGCCGTTGCAGATAGTGGCGGAAGGGGGTGAGCGGGATTGGTGGGTGTCAGTTGGGATGAACGTGACGAATGACTTGCACGGTGCTACTGCCAGTTTCTTGGAGGTAGACCAGTCGGAGACGCCCCGAAGAAGCCCAGCGAGGTCAGCTCCGCAGCGTCAGGAATCGAGGAAGACACGAAGATCGTGAGGTCGTCCACGTGTGAGTCCAGGAACTTGACTGCTGGACATATGCTGAAGATGGGGCGGTAGGATGACCCCTGGCTACCAGGTATACCGGGCCAAGCCCCAGTCAGTCAGCTTCAACGTTGCGCCCTCACCTGAAAATATTTTTAAATGGTCAAATCACTTTACAGGTCACTATTAAAGCTATTGTAAGTAAGGTGCATGACCGGATTTCAGCTCAAAACTTTACTGGGATCGCTGTGAATTATGAGTCCTATACTGAACTTTTTATAGTACTGCCACTCTGTTCAACACAATCTGACTGATGCAATCAATGATGCAAAACCCATCTTTTTGCAAGACGAACTCATGCCAATTTATGGTAAAGTCACTCCTGTTTATGGCATCTTTGAAATAGCTGAAATACTTCTTGGAGTTGTGCAGCTTCACCTAAGGACAATTTGGCCTTGCTAACAAATGTCAGCAAGGCTGCTACGACTAGGTGATTATTGAAAGGAGCGTTGAATATTGGTTAGACATATTTTTAATAATATAATGGTAATGACAAATACAATTTAATAACTGATCATGTGTTGCACAGATTACATTGCACATCAAATTCACAATCAACTTACTGCTTGTCAAGGTGTTTACTTGGTCCGGCTGCTCCCGAAGGAGTGAAAGTCGAGACAGGTAGGACCAATAGCTGAACCGCTCAATCCATCATCACCGTCGAGGTTGGAGCAACCGTCTCAACTTGCAAAAATAGCTGTAATAACAAGTAACAAGTAGCAGATCAGAAGCTATTTTTGGGGGGAATTATAGCAAAGGTCATGCATTTAGCTACTGTGAAGCAATTCATGTTCCTTAGGAACATATAACTTTTTATTGTTGTTGCCTAAATAAAAAATGCATTCTTCACGACACTTCAAAAGTTGGATTTTAGTCTTGAGTGACTCTGATCTGTAATGGAGTACAGTAAATGAAATCATGAGAAAAGTCAGGCGGTGAGACACTTCATGAGGTTAATAACTATTGATGAGCACTTGGCATGATGTAAACTTTTTACATGAAGAAAAGTAAGGTCATTAGCCTCAACTTCTAAAGAAACTTGATATGATTAGACATATTTAGAGATTAAAGGCCAGATTAGGATTTAAGGTCGGACAATTCCTGTTCACACCTATTTAGGATTAGTGGTAACCTGCAAAAAAAAGTTTTTTTTTAAGTAATAATGGAATTAGGGGCTACATGTAAGAAGTTATAGAATCATTATATCAACATATATAATTGTTGGTATTGATAATTGTTGAATCTGAAATCCTACTATTTGTATCTGCCAAAATTTTAACTGAATTCAAATTGAAATGGCATATACATTTGATCATTGACTCAATTATTTCCGTCATTTCAGTAATCAAACAATCATATGCCTCAGTGATCAACAGAAAATAAGATTATATTAACCCATAATTTTCCTTGTAATGAAGAAAAAATGCATGCAACAGTTATATTATCAAGTTTGGCCCTATATCTACAAGACAACAACTGAGTAGCAGATAAGAAATTTAGATTCATATCTCTGAAAATGATTCACAGCTCAAAAATTCTTCCTATAGTGTCTTGAAGTGAAGTTATGATTATTTCAACATCAAACCTGCAAGATCACTCAGTTTATAAAAAATATAAGCTATTTTATGAAAAAATTCAGTTTCAGTCAATAGTTTGCAATATGAAATTTGTTAGTGTTCAAATCAGGGTTGGCAATGATTAAATCAAAATGATTAAATCATGTGATTCAATCACTTTATTTTTTTATAAAAAAATCATGATTTTTTTGATTTTTTTGATTTTTTCATATATTTAAAAATATTGAGTGGCAGTCTTTAATTTATATTGAGGTATTGTTATTCATGGTTTAGTATAAATGTACTATGAATGACAAATTGGTATATAAACTTGTTGCCTTTAGTGTGTATTAGGTTCCAATAAATGGAGTATTCATTTCAACAGAAATAAGTACAGAGGCATCAAGAGTGCAATACATTGTACGTAGCTGGCAGCTTAGCTAATTCTTATAAGGCTATAAGTAGTCTAACTATTTGACTATTTGTTATATATTAATTACAATATACAATTTAAATGTGTTAGCCAGCTTATATAGGGTGGGATAGAACTGATTGAACAGTTTTGAGGCGAAATAAAAGAGTAATGGAGGTACATAAAGAAGAAAGTTTATTTTCCTCATGATTAGCATAACATACCATTTAAAATACTTATGTTTTGAAAACAATATCAGGAAGATGGGGTTTGTTAGCTGCATCACACTGTTGGAGTTGTTCTCGGAAGTTTCCAACAGCACGTTCACACATATGGCGAGGTATGGCCAAAACCTCAGCTGCAATAATCTGTTCCCTTAGCTGTGGTAGGGTGTGAGGGCGACTTCTGAACCCCTTTCTTTTAGATGTCCTCAAAGAAAGAAATCGCAAATGCTCAAATCAGGTGACCTCGCAGGCCACTGTAAATCACCCCTCAGAGCCTGGGAACATGTGTTTCAAAACATTGAGTGACATTTGAGCTGTGTGAGCTGTAGCCCCATCCTGCTGGAACCACACGTCTCCCAATGCTCCATTTTCAACAATGTTTTCCATCATGGGCTGCAAGAAATTTTGCAACATTGCAGCATAGCGATCGGAATTCACTGTCATGGTTACTCCCTCCTCTGAGAACGACTCCAACAATGTGTTGCAGCTAACGGCCCCCATCTTCCAGATATTGTTTTCAAAACATAAGTATTCTAAATGGTATGTTATGCTAACCTCTAGGATAATAAAATTTCTTCTTTATGTATCTCCATTACTCTTTTATTTTACCTCAAAACTGCTCAATTGGTTCTGCCCCACCCTGTATATTGAGAGGTTGAGATTGTATTGACCTTTTAGGCAATTAGAAAGATTTTCCACCCTAATACGAGTATTAGGGTAGTACGAGATAGTACAAGAAACAAAACAATTACAATTACTAGACTATATATAAAATAATTAAATGCAGTGAATGGATATAAAATATTTTAATTGTGCACATGTTTATTTCAGTGTTAGCTTTTCTCATAACTTAAGTCTCGTTTCAAGTCGTATGAGGTTTGTTTGGTTATCGTTCAGTTTATGTTTAGTATTGGTTTATTGGTCTGAATTAAATGGGAACAGTGCAGTCAGTCACTACTAGACTACTAGTCAGTGTGTATAGAAGGTAGAGTCTGGTAGATTAATGGGACATAAAACTAGTAGATCTATTGATAGTGCTGTGCACTGTGCTATCAGCTACCTATCTGTTATGGGACTCTTCAATGTATGGGAGATCTGCATTTCTGAAGTGTTTTTGTATATTGAAGCCAGTTAAATGGTCAATATTTAGCTCATTACCTTGCTCCATACAAACTTTACAAAGCTAATGAATAGACTTATCATTAATTGTTTACCCAAAAATCCCTAAGTGATAAACACCACCTTGGCCTGTTGGTCATTATTGAAGGTAATAAGTGCCCTTTTTGGCCATCCATTATGATCCATATACTGTTATTGTTAGTAGGCTAATTGCAAAATAAAAAATAACACCTCAAAAAGACAAAAAAACTGAAAAAATCAAAAAAATCAAATAAATCAAAAAAATCATGAAAAAATCAAAAAAATCATTGATTTTTTATTTTTTTGATTTTTTAAAAAAATCAAAAAAATCGCCAACCCTGGTTCAAATAGTAGTCCTCTAAATTCTAGACTGCGAGCAATAGCAATAAACACAAATCTTCAATCCAGTTTTTGATAAGAATGCAAAAATTATCCATACCTGCACCCACGAGTGGCAGTATGACATGCAAATTTATTTCATTTCGCTATAAAGTGGTGATATGTTGGCAGTTCAATAGAGTCAATGTATGCTGCATAATTTTTTATGAGATGATTTACAAGTAACAATTACTTTAAATTTCTGCTTCTTATATCAACATGATAGGCTAATCCCTTTCCCAACACTTCAACTCTGTTGCATGCTAGCTTCCACAAAAAAAAATAATTAAAGTTAAAAATAAATTAAAAATGTAAGGATCTTGAATTATGTTTATTCAGACAAATATTTCACATCCATTTACCAATTGCAGAGCAAATATAGATTTTTAAGCTCAATGGTGATATAAAAACTAAAATTTCAAGTTAAAAAAGTCAGACAATCAAAATAGTAAGTTACCAGAAGTCCATTCCACATCACTAACCTGACATGTGTCCAGTAGGTTCAATTCAATTTTGAAAAGAGCTGCTCAGAAATGAAAATTTTTGATTCTCCTGTGAATAAGTTTCTAAAAATACAAGACTTGGTGACAGTCAAAACTTGGCCTATTTTTTAGCACTGACACTACTATGCTATACTAGTTGTAGCTGCTGAAGTGAACTGCAACATTCAGATAAGAAAACAGATTGGTCGTCAACAACTGGAAAAGGTGTTCTTACACATCAGTACATAAATCAATTATTGGAATAATTATCAATTTATGTCATTAAACAATAAACATCATACAGTGTCAGTGATGCAGAAGCCAGAAGTTGCCATCCATATACCTACAGCCACACGCTACAGTATTGCCACTGGTTAGTATTCCACCCTACGACACAGGCTACTGCAACACACAGCCTAGGTTCAATTTTAGTTTTGAAAAGAGCTGGTCAAAAATGAAAGTTTTTAAATCTACTGTGACCAAGTCTCTTAAATTAAAAGACTTGGTGACAGTCAAAACTTAACCTATTCTTCAACACTGACATCACTATGCTATACTAGCTAGTTGAGTAGTTGTAGCTGCTGAAGAAAACTTCAACATTTAGTTGAGAAAAATTGGTTTTCAACAAGTGGAAAGGGTGTTGTAGACTGAGAAGTACATAAATAAATTATCGAAACAATTATCCATTTACGTCATTACACATTAAACCATGATGCAGGAGTCGCCATCCATCCACGGCAATGACAGAGGTTAGAATTCCTCCCTAGTCACTCACCAACAGGCTACAGCCTGCACACAAAGCCAGTGAAGCTGCTGCGCGCAAAAACATGCTCCGAAAAAAATATACGAAAACCAAACAAAACTGGTCAAAAATAAAATGGAATGAAAGTTGAACAAGAACATTTCTAAGCTTTTTGAAACGTTAAACAATTTTTATTAACTTGGCTGACTTGGCATGCAGCTATTCGATTTGAATGTCACTATAGAACCGACTCATTGACAGCAATGATCGAGACAACACAGCAATGGCTAACAACCGACAGACATGGTTGCCAACCGACATGACCAAGTTGACATTTCACTAATGTTTATTTAAGTTTTAAGACATACAAATTTTTTTTATCAAACTAATCGGACGATGGAATTTTACGTTGTATTCATTTTAGTAGTAATCACTTTCACAGCAGGCTGAACTATTATTAAACGAAAACTAACGACAACGGGCGCCTCACAAAAGGTGGTGAAATCGGTGAGATGTTGCCACACGCAAGACGAAGTTTGTAATTTTCGTTCTAAAGCTCGAGCAAAACGATATCGAGCTAACGATTTGCATTTATAAATTTCTCGTTTACATGAAGTCATTTGAGTTTATGATAGAGAACTGATATTTCATCCGATATATAAATCGGCTCGAATTATTTAATGAAACATAATTTTAACGTGATTTAGAAACGGGATGGCGACCAATAACAAACGACAACATAACATTTGGGAACTTGATAAAACTATAGAAGTGAAGTGAATGAGA